CAAAACAGCCACAGAAAATTTCTAGTAAAGAATAACTTTTAAGGGGCTGGGGAATTAGCTCAGCGGTTCAGTGGCCTGCCTTGCAAGCGCAAGGACACGAGTTCAAACCCCGGGACCAAAAAAAAAGAGTAACTTTTAAGCTTTTTAAAAAAATTATTTTTACATGGTTAGTAATCAAAGTGTCATCCAAAAATAATGGTACTTTATGATAAAAGAATCACTAATGTTAATTAACTAGCTAGAGATCCATCCAACTTAATATAGAACTCAGACATGTTGGACACCATCTCGTTACTCTGCATTTTAAAACTTGAGGAAAGTGAAGCATCCAGTTTAATAATCATGGTCAGAAATTCCCTTGTTTTTCAGGTTAGTAGCCACCACACGTTTCAGCAAAGGATAAAGAAATGCAGTTTATTGATATGTCCATTAAATTTCCTTTTAAAATAAAAAAGCTGGGCACGTTGGCACATATCTGTAATATCAGCACTCAGGAGGCTGAGACATGAGAATCACTGCCAGTTCAAGGCCAGCCTGGACTACTACATAGTGAGTTCAAGAAACATTTTTCAAATTTATTTGGGTTTTTAAAAAAATAACCTTAAAACTTTCAAACCATGGGGCTAGTTTTTATGTGTTCATTCAGTGTGTGCCAGGCATTAAGCTAAAAGCTAAGTATAATTCTCCACACTAAACAAGCTACTAGAGTAAACGAACAACTTATCTGCACTTTTGAAGAGATAAGGAAGGACATGTATATGTGTGAAGGTGTGTATACGTGTGTGCACATGTACTTGCCCTTTTAAAAATCTTTTAAATACATTCACTGCATTCAGCTTACAAGTTGATGCTATGTGACTAAATTCTAGCCCAGGCATGAAAGAGGAAGGTACGAAGGTTATTTCCAGGCTGTGTCCTTCACAGCAGGGAGGTAGGTCCTTCCTTTCCTTTTCTCCTTCCTTTTTGTGTGAATATAGATGAGCCAATCTGTGACACAGAGATGAAGCAACATCTTGTGAATGGCAGAGCTACCAGCAGGAAGAATCTGAACCTCTAAAACCTCCAGAACTACTGCAGCTCCCTAGACTTCTATAGCAGCCTCACTATACTTTTAGTACCATTAAGGCACAGATGATATCTTAATTTGTCCCCAGAGGACCATAGCTATAATGTATATAAGATTTCTTAAGCACTCATTTTTATTATTCTTTTGTTTTGTTTTGTTTTTTGAGACAGGGCCTTGCTAGGTAGCCTAAGCTGGCCTCAAACTCACAATGATTCTCCTGCCTCAGCCTCCCAAGTACACCAGCATGCCCAGCACATTATACTTTATTTTAATAGCCTACAAAGGAATACAAATATTTGATATTTGTGAAATAACTATAATGTCCCACTTTCAAAATGCCTAATTGATTGAATAGTTATAAGACCTAATTACAAATTACTGAAGAATATACATAATTGTGAAATTCATATGATATCCACTTTGTCAAAGAAAATGTCTTCTACTGGTATCATTTAATTTTTTTTTTTGTACTGGAAATTGAGCTCAGGTCCTTGTGCTTGCAAGACAGGCAGCAGAACCACTGAGTCAAATCCCCAGGCCCAACAGGTATTATTTAATTGCTCAACAAAAAAAAAAACAAAGTAAAGCACACCCACATTAATACAATATGTAAAGAGTTTATAACTCCAAGACTGTCACTTTGGTCAACACTGCAGGTACTTTTTGAATTCTATTTTTAAAAATAGTGCCCCTTAAAGCTGTTTCTTCAACTGTTTTCACTATTACATACTTGTCTTTTGATGGACTTTCAGTGAAAAGGGTTCCAAAACATTTGATTGAACATTAAAGTGCTGAAAATACTTGGATTTAGCTGCTCATAATCCAAAAGAAGTAGATTATCTTTTTGAGATTCTACATTAACCCTATATCAAATTGCTTAATTTTTTAACACACACACAAAAAGACATTCATTGGCTGAAATTTCCCTATAGTCTAATAATAACTATTTCACTACAGTCTTATTTATGGTGGAACCACTACCAGAACTCCAATGTGCTATTTTTTGACAATCCTTGGGCAATGAGATTTTATCCTTTGTATTTTTTATTAGCATTTTAATTAACAATCTACACATGTAGCTTAAAGTAGAGCATGATTAAGGTTAATTATGGTTCCAATATCATTCAATTAATTTCAATGAACAAAAGTGCACAGAAAATGTGAAAATTTTTTCAAAATTCCCATTTGAATTGGTACTAATTCAATTAGTACACTGTATAAAATTGTTGTGTAGAAATAAAAGAAAAATTTTGCATTCTCTTATATGATTATTATTAAAGATGGTTGTTTTACTTGTGTAGTCTCTAGTATCTATGACAGAACTGATTTCAATAGATTAAAATTAATGAAGCATTAGTTAGATGACATAATAATTAGTACTACTCAAAATAAAATAAGCAGCTGGAAAATGTTTTGATACCTGTCAGGGTTTTTTTTTATCTGTGTTAGACTATGGACCGATTCTAAGTCTATTAAAAATGTCAAATATGTTATTGACAAAATATTGTCTGTTTTCTTTTATTAATTTAATAAATATCAGGCAGTTTCCTAGGCAATGAGAATCTACACAGCAATCAATAAAAGAGTTAAGTAGTTGTCCTACTCTAGAACAGTGGGTTCTTTAGCTTCCCTGTTTCCTGGAAGTATTGAACTCAGGTAAAGTTCAATATTGTCACAGCTTATACTGTCTGCAGGGAATCTCTGAAACATGATTTTAATTTATGGTATTAACTAGTTATTTTAGTTTAGGCAATTTTTCAATATTAATAACTTCTTTAACTATATGTTACCCTTAATCATTGTACATCCACTGGAGTAGATTATGAAACACATAGCAAATAAATAAAGCACATCCTGGGCATATTGTGGATGCTTCTCAATAGGATTGTCATGTAGGTCCACTAGCTAATGGCAGAATACCCACACTGATTGTGGGTGGCATCATCCAATAAGCTGGTAGCCTTTATGGAGAAAGCTGTTGTACATTTGAAGAGCTCAATTTACTTTGAGCAGCTCAATTTACCTTGCTTTTTGATCATCACCTGTATAAAGCACACCATTTTCTTCAATCTGCCAAATAAGACTCATGCTGATAACTCTTCAGAGCATTTCCAGGCAGGCCTCTGGATTTGGAGTGGTGTTGTATCACATGTCCTCTTGTTCTATGGCTTCCAGCTTCTTCAACTGAGCAACTACTCATTCTGCTATATCTCTAGCATGCAGAGATATAGGACCATTATAGACTCACTCACATGTGATGCTGTAAACCTACCTAGTAAATCCCCTTATATAATTATATGCATACATTTCTATGTACAATAAAGATTTTCTATATATTCTGATCCTGTGGAAAACTCTAACCAATGCAACATGTTAGGGAATTTTGTTCTACAATTACTTTTGTAGAAATTCTTTCATTTCTATAAAGTTCCACTTTTTTAAGTGCTACTCCCATTTCCACCTTTGTTTTTTGTTTTTGTTTCAGTTTGCTTCCAAATTATACTAATATATCATTGCACCCAAAAGAGGTGAACTTATTTTTTAGGATCAAAAACGTGACTCCAAAAATGTGATAATACAATGAAAAAAATGGGAAGATATTTTAGTTTAATTTTATTAGTAAGCAAGACCTTTATCCTGTTATAAATAGAAAACTAGGTTAATTTTCCAGTTCAAAAGATCTTAAAAAAGAAAAGACCATTTTCTTGATTTACATAGGCAGCTTAGAAACTATAGGCTTCAAAATTAAAGAAATAAATGCAGTTGCAATTCATAGTAGAATTTATGCTACATATAATTTGTTAGATATGGTAAAATTAATGGGAAATTTCATTGATATTGCCCTATCAGAATTCATAAGTATGCTATAATTTTACAGTGACTACTGGCCTTGTTCTTATATAAAAAAAAGCAAAGATTCAGTGCTCCGATACATGTTGCTATGATATTGATTGTAGTCTACCTTTTCTTTATCCTGTCACAGCAAGAATTTCTGCACCCTTTGAAGTTAATGGTCACCAATTGGGCCATAGAGATTAACATGAAGCAATAGCAAAGTTCAAAGCTTTGCAACCAAAAAATGCGTAACATTTTAAGTTAAATTCAGTTGAGACATAGAAGAAACTCTACTTTTATCTTTATAATAAATGTATTGACAATATATTTATATAATAATAAAATGTATCTTGATTTCTTTGTGATACAAACTTATTAAGGAAGGATAAACAAATGCATAACTAAAATGTTGATATTTTGTGGAGAAAGAAATCTTCTCATTTAGATATCCTTTCAACATCATTAAAAATCAGCCATAGCATGGAGATGTCTTTGCTGAAACCCCATTCTATTATTTTCTTCTAGCTATAAAAATGTACTATGAAAGTGACAAAAATATAGCAAATAATGCAGAGGATGTATTTTGGCTTGTCCA